TCGTGTTCCAATTTGTCTAATTATAATTAAATTGTAGGCTCGTTAAACGATTTGCTGGTCAATAGAATTTTTAGGATATAATAAAATTTAGTCTAAACGTGTCTCACGATAAATTCGGTAACGTAAAAAATGTAGTTTACTCCTCGAGCGTAGATTATAAATAAAATTAATTCATTGTCAAAACCGCCGTTCGAATGTTTCCCCGTGCATAGACTTCCTTGTTTACTTCGTGACATTGGCCAATCAACAAGATGCAAAAATAAACGTAACAATGCCCCTTTCGCATCCGCTCAGACACACTCACTCAGACAGATATTCAGGCGTGGTCGTGAACATTACCTCATTTTCGCGTTTTTGAATTATATTTGTTAGTTTTTAATTGTTTTTCGAAAATTTAAATATAAATCAAAGAAATGAATGATCACTTTGTCTTCCTGTGAGTTTCAGTTTAATTACAGTAATCAAAAATTAGTGTAGAATAATTGTTGAATGGTATGAATTAGAATGATAGTTTACAAATACCCAATTTTACAAGCAACAACTCGCGAAACCACTCTTAAAATAAGTACCAAAAGCTTTAAAATGGTAAAGTATAGGAAGAATTTTCCACGGGCAAAGGTCGGGGATAGGTCCATTCAGTGAATCTTCCCGGGCCAGATTTTTTTTTCTCCGGCCGTATTTTGCCGACCGATACGCACCGTACCTTACTGCGAAGACGAGTCCAGCAATCCTTTCGCGTGTGATTATCGCCCACGTGATTCAAGCCTGCGAATGCACACAGAGTACAGAACTAAGTGCACGATGCACCGAAGAAAAACAGGTTTCGCGAAATCGCCCCCCTATCGCCCCCTTCGACGTTTTCGCCCCCCTCTGTATCGTTTTCGCCCACCGGGGGGCGATATCGCCCACTTTGGGAATCACTGTTCTAGATGACTTCTCGAAGGGTCTATGTTGACTTATTTGCGAATGATGTTACCTTTGGCAACAAACGATCATACATACACCCAGGTAGAAATAAGTAGGTGGTTGGTTGTTCCATCAATTTATAGTATACACAGGCAGTGGTATATGTTTATTGGATGTCTAACAAGTGATACATCAGTAACATACTAACATAAATACATAACTAAAAGGATACATATGAAAAAGACAAATAGTACAACTATATATTTCCAACAGACACCATGGATAACATCTCAATTCTCAACGCATGAGATATAGATTGTGGCCATACAGCAAGGTTAGTGCATTGAATGTGCAAATTTACTCAACACAAATAAAATAAAAATTTCAACAACAAGCCTCATTACATATTTACAACGAAGCGGTTAAAACGAATAAGCAGTTAAAACAAATAGTTCGCATGACTGAACTTCCAGATAAAAAATGATGTGAAGAACATGGTGATCTATGTTAAGATTTTTCTTGCTGGTAACAACGAATACATTACAAGTCCCAATTCATGCCAGCATATTTAAAAAATTGTATCAATGGGAAGCGATAAATATATCGGTCTTTTATTCGAATTATTAATATATCAACCATGAAAAAAAATCATCCAGCAATACAAACATTTAATTGAACACCATGATCCTAATGCATCAACAACAACAGTGATATATATACAGATGCTATCTTACGGGACGTGCTCACGCGAGGCATAGCTGATCAGGAAATACAACTCGATCTTTGGGCGAAAGAAATCAGGACATGACACTCGAGGAAGTCTTCCTATTCGTGGAAACTGAGGAATCTGGAAAACGATCAGCTACACGCCTGTTCGACTCGATGGGTGCTGAAGCTGCGCGTAGCAGTTCCTACAGACGAGATAAGAGGAATGTTCAAAATAAATGCTCGTACTGCGGCGAACCCGGCCATGGCGCCAGGGCAGTCCCAAAAATCAGGCAAGCGGATTGTCCGGCATATGACCACACTTGTGGACACTGCGGTCTCAAACACCACCTGCCCAAAGACAATACACGAGTAAAGAGCCTTTGGGGAACGACGTGACACCATCGGGGAACACGACGACCCGATCGAAGCCAACGATCACAAAACACAAGCTGAAGTCACAAATCCTAACAGCCCGCCGACAAAAGCAGGAGTGGAATATCCTTCATGGCCTACGTACGCTCACATAGATGTTGACACGTCATCTGAATGGATGCCCCGACGTTCGAATCGTGCTTGAAATGCTCCTAGATGGCAAAAAGATTAAATTCCTCAGAAGTATGAACATTTCACTGTATATACTCAGTCTTACATACCCCGCTACTCCTAAGGAACGGCGCACAAAAGACTTGGGGGGAAATAGTGAATATTTATGTAGACTGTGCAGTGTGTGATTTAATGTTAACTCTTGTTTTTTATTTCATTTCAGTTATTATTGAGTTCCGTCATTGTTTACTAATAAAAGTGTAACAAATGGACTGTCAATCCTATCTAGACCAAGAAAAAGCATACGACTCAGTGGATAGACATTTAATACTAAAAATTATGAGAAAATTGGGATTTGGGTCTTACATCATCAAATGGGTCAACCCCTGCTTACAAATACTCGATCAAATATTATCACCAATGGTTTTTTATCACATGAGTTTCTATTAACTAGGGGTGTTCGACAAGATTGTCCAATTGCTCCTTCATTATACATATTGGTATCTGAATTGCTGGCTTCAAATTTAAAAATTAATAACAACATAATCGGATTTAGAAAGAGCTCTAATAAAAGAGAAGTTTTTAAACGGTATGCTGATGACACCACTTTCACTGTAGTAAATTTATCATCAATTGATGACATACTTAACGTAATGAAATTATTCTACGAGGGTTGTGGACTAAAAATAAATAAATCTAAAAGTAATATCCTATTGTGTGGAACCGCAAGAGCATGGGCCATAGATGAAGATTATTGCGAAATAAAAGTAAAACGGAATGAAATTAAACTACTGGGAGCATATTTGGCAATAGTACAATATTTCGAGATAAAAACTGGCAAAATGTAATAGATAAAGCAGAAAGGGTATCCAATCTTTGGAAAGAACGAAACTTGACCATGATAGGGAGGATATTAATCACCAAAACTTTAACGATGTCCAAAGCGTGGCATAAAATTAATTTTGAATATATTTCAGATTATTTTATCTTTAGATTACAGACTATTATATGGAAATTTATATGGAGTGGAAAAACACAGTCAATTAAATAGATCCATCATTTTGAGGCCTCCTTGACTGAATTCACTACATGTTATAGAGTCTTTCGCGACATCTAGGCGCCGAGTAATCACACTTTTCGATTCATCGCGAATGCGCTTCATCAAATCTCACAAGATTCAGAAACCTAAAAATCGGCACGCTTGCTTTTTCTGTTCCGCATGCTTTCCTGATCAATATGACAATCCATATAAAACGGTATGCATGAACAGTATAATATCCCAGTAAGATATGAACTTGTTGCGACCCTGCAGGTGGTCACGAGACGCGCAAAAAAGCATGGGCCGCTGAGATATTTTCCAGTATTTTGAGCAGGCACAGCCTGAATGAGCCGACGTTTCCAAGTTACCGACGACTTTTGTCATTGTAATGTAAATTCATTGATCAACTGCAGAGGGATGATATGATAAATTCCATTATAAAGAAAAGGCTTGATTAAAATTGTGATTCTACTTTACAGTTCAGGTTTTAAAAAAGAATCCCTGTCACAGTTTTGATTATCTCGTGATAACGAATACCCATCGCTAAGTAATCGAGCAATCAAACCGTTGTCCGTATTTTCAACCAGTTACCGTACTTGTGCGTTATGCGAAAAAACATTTTCATCACTAGCTTGACTTAAAACGAAGCAAGGAAATCGCTGCACGCCGCTGCAGAGCTACTTGTTGCAGAAACTTCTCAGAGGCCTCGTTTACAATCCTATATTGGAAACGAAACAACAGCAAAATTGTCACTATAGAGTTAATTGTGTTTGTACATGATTTGGCATGTACATGTTTTTTCCTGTGAGATGTTTTATGTGTGCGCATTTCTTACGCATAATGGGTGCCCAGCACTGCATTACGCAAATATATGGTATTATTTTATGTTTCACCCATTTTAATTTTTGGATGGCACATTATTTGATAGTTTTTCTTCGTGCGAAATGTTTCTAAGTGTGCCTTTTTTGTCTATAAGCATATTAGGTGCCCGACATCGCATTATATTACGCAAATATATATGTTATTCTTTTCTGTTCCGCTCATTTCATTTTTTCGCCGGTACGCCAGGGTAGAAAGGTTGGGAACCACTGTTCTTAGTGTTCTAGATGACTTCTCGAAGGGTCTATGTTGACTTATTTGCGAATGATGTTACCTTTGGCAACAAACGATCATACATACACCCAGGTAGAAATAAGTAGGTGGTTGGTTGTTCCATCAATTTATAGTATACACAGGCAGTGGTATATGTTTATTGGATGTCTAACAAGTGATACATCAGTAACATACTAACATAAATACATAACTAAAAGGATACATATGAAAAAGACAAATAGTACAACTATATATTTCCAACAGACACCATGGATAACATCTCAATTCTCAACGCATGAGATATAGATTGTGGCCATACAGCAAGGTTAGTGCATTGAATGTGCAAATTTACTCAACACAAATAAAATAAAAATTTCAACAACAAGCCTCATTACTATTTACAACGAAGCGGTTAAAACGAATAAGCGGTTAAAACAAATAGTTCGCATGACTGAACTTCCAGATCAAAAATGATGTGAAGAACATGGTGATTTATGTTAAGATTTTTCTTGCTGGTAACGAATACATTACAAGTCCCAATTCATGCCAGCATATTTAAAAATTGTATCAATGGGAAGCGATAAATATATCGGTCTTTTATTCGAATTATTAATATATCAACCATGAAAAAAAATCATCCAGCAACACAAACATTTAATTGAACACCATGATCCTAATGCATCAACAACAACAGTGATAACTATCAAAATATTGCACCTCTTATTAAACGATATATATATATATTTCACATAATTGTAAAATTCTTGAGTATTGCTAAAATGCCCAGCTTCAGTTTGGTCATTATAATCCAACATGACTACTAGATCTCGTTCTATATCTGATTACATGTAATATTTGCATCCAGTTATCCAAATAAACGGTGTAGATACAGCCGAATGAGAGATTCAAAAGGCGTCTCTAATATTCTTGAAAGGTCTAACAGCCAAGTCCACAGGCAAGTTAAACACACATGAGTCTAGTCTGCCCAAAATAGTAAGTGCTCCTTCAAAACCAGTTTGTGCGACATAGCTAAAATCTGTGTAGTGGTTTACAATTAACCATGATGTTTTCATTATTAATCTGATCCATAGAACTAAGCGACCAGAGTTGAGTCCAAGACAAATAAGTGCTTTCAGCATCAAATCATAGCTCCTCTTCAAAGGACTATGTTCATTAAGAACCATATGAATTGCTTCTAGCAGTGAATGTTTGATGCTTATCCTGTGTACACCACCACTGGACACCAATGGCTCCAGATCAAACGAACGTGTCAACATCCTAGATGGCGCTCTTGCCAAGTCTGCTCCCTTTTTTGCCTCATAGTATTCAATGAACAACTCCCAAGGATGAAGAGGTGTCGTGGCCAGAGAGCCATTTAACTTTTTCGGTAACAAACATGATATTGGTGTGACCAAACTGGTGCTAGTAGAAATGGTTGCATCTACAACTAGTCCATGTGCTAGCAAGCTAATAATTGCTGGACATAATTGCTTCCGAACAACCTGAGTCAATTCACTATCCACTGCAAGTACAGCTGCTTTTTCGTTTTCTTCTAATTCAGCGTAATATAGTTCTCGAGTGCTCACAGAATCAAATGCACAATCATCACTATCAGAGTTATTGGTTGCTGTTATGCATCCTTTCACAGCACTGACCGCTTTTTTCAGGTCTTTCAACAAATGATCAGTACCAAGTTTTCTAGTCTCCTCAATTGTCTCGGCTTGCATTGATTTTGTACCACATCCAAGTTGTGTAATAGCAAATACTTGAAGAATGCTCAAAGCCCGCCTGAGCAAAGCCAAATTCTGTGATTTTTGCTCTCGCCTTACATCATCATCCATGTTACCAGGGACAGATCCAGATGATTTTGGTAGTGCTCCTTCTGATTCAACCTCAATTTGTAAAAATTTGACAAAACGCTCAAGATCTTGAATTTGTGTCTGGAGATGATCAACTAATTTTTCCTTGATCTTGGCAGGATTTATAATTTCATCAACTGCATCATTGACTCTACCTTTGAGGTCATCAATCGATGATTGAGCAAGTTCTGTCCGATTTACATTCAAATTCAGCTTGCTTATGAGCTGATCCAATACGACCTGTTGCTTCTGTAGCATTACAGATTGAGGAACATCCCCAGAGCCATGCTTGAAAGCATAATTTTCCAGATCATCTAACTGGTTCTTCAACTCGCGTATGATTTCTTCATGATTTTCTAAATGTTTTTCCTCTGTTATTTTTTCATCATCCGCTGGTTCATTCACTCTGTAAACAACGCTGCTGTCAATACATCCTTGATTTGCAAGTGCGTCCAACTCTTCTAGTAATTTAGGTTTATCTTGTGGGTCAGCCTCTATAATCTGTTGAAGCCGAAATTGTATTTGGGCAAACCGTGAAGTAAGTGAAAATAAAGATTGCTGAAGGTCTTGTTTCTCCTTTTCCAAAACTTCTATTTTTTCCTCGCTGCCCCCTATCCTTTGTGGTTCCGTGAAAATTACTGGATCGGGAGATGCGGCAGCTCCAAGAGGTGCCCACCTTTCATGCTGTGGTGGCTTGAGTTCATCTTGCGAAAAAAATGGTTCATCATCCATATTAGAAGATTTTCTTTTGATATTAGTAAATTTTAATTACCATAACTATTATCTTCTGGAATATAATGTCAATTAGACCCTATATACAAATCTAAATTGACAATCAGAATGCCCTTCAGGTAGTTCAAATATCTTGTTTCATTTTTATACATGGTGCATTCTCTTTAGATGACTGACAGTTTATTTAAAGAGTGCTCAGGCTATATATTAATTGAGGACTTATATATTAAAATATATTAAATTACGTTGAAACAAGTATTCCCATACAAATTAACAAAGTTGCTGACTTGTTGCCACAGCAACATCTATTCAGACTCAATAAAGCATAGCATAACGGAATAATCCATGGATGTAATTTCATCAATAACAAATTAAAATCACCATACCAACTATTTAGACTAGTGTTATTAAGTGGAATAATAAAAGGAGGATAAACTTGTGTTTACGCCTAGCCAGGTCATAAACGCTCACAGGCAAATAATCCAAATCCCCATCTGACTACCAAATTCAAAAATTATGCTACTGCGACATCACGACCACCTAATAAAGCTTACCAAAGTATAGAGATGATCACCTGTAATATCACCACGCAGGGACAACAAATGCAGAAATGTGATGACTCTTGTATGGTACTACACTAAACCCTCTATACAGCTATATTACAGATACTAGTGATATAGAGCAGGGCTACTCAACTATTTTTATCGAAAGTCCGCAAACAAAACTTCAAAATTATTTGGGTCCGGTCTTTCCAGAACTGATATTTCGGCATCCTTAAATGAGCATTTCCTCGACCGACTAATGATTAGTAGCATATTAAAATTGTTTATTATGGTGTTATATTTCTTTTCCTATATATTCAAAACTATGAAAATCATTTTATGATAGGAAAGTCAAAAAGTAGGGCTGATGATCCAAAATAAATAATTAGGTGCGGTCCAAATCCAATACTCGAAAGGTCCGGATTCGGACCGCGGTCCGCCAGTTGAGTAGCCCTGGTATAGAGTATCTGCTCGGCCTTTGGGGCTAAAAAAGATTTAAGTAGGCTATGGATGAATGATTCAAACCCCATTCAAATCAAATAAAACATTGGGCAAAACCTTTATTATTATTATGATGATATGTTTTTAAAATAGCAAATTAACGTAAATTTCACATAAATTAGAAAAAAGGTAAATAAAGAAATTGTACAACGACTCTATCAGGGGTCTTACTACTTACTGAATACAGCGCGAACAACACAAAATCGCGCGAAATAGAGGAAAACAGCACGAAACAGAAGGAAACCAGCGCGAAACAGAGCAAAACAGGAGACGCAGTCATTACCACCTCCTGCCACGAAAGAACCACAGCGCCTCTCGCCATGGTTTTATGGCGCTATTTCCGGTATATTTACAAGGTTATGTACCAGATTATAAGTCATCATGCAAAATTTTATCTACCTTTTTGGTGCTCCAGAAGTACAAGTGCAGTTTTAAGTATTCTGTGGCATCTGCAGCTGCCGCAAAACCATGGCGGTGTTTCCTTACCATGGACGCTACGGCCAAACTCATGGCAACTGACTCTTTAGCTGCCACAAACCAATGTCGAGCTGCCGTTACTGCGGCAGCAAATTGAAAACCAATGGCAGGTAAAATTTTGCTGCCGTAACCGCGGCAGGTGGGCCGTAAAGACAGGGCTGTCTATTATGGTGACAAATATTGGGTAAGTTGGAACGTTTTTCTTATGGATACAGTTTTGATTGATTTGGGGTTAGGGTTTAAGTAGATATAATTCCACATGATCAATTAAAATCTGGTACATTAATTTGTGAATATACCGGTACCGTTAATACTGAATACTGAATAGCGCTATAAAACCATGGCAAGAGCTGCCGCGGTTCGTTCGTGGCAGGAGCTGCCATGAAGTGGTGAGAACTGCGCCTCCAGAAGTATGTGCAGCAATATGTCGCACAACCTGAATCCGCTACACACACACATACTATTTTCAGGTTGTGCGCCATCTTGGTGCACATACTTCTGGAGGTCCCTTTTTACCTAACCCTAACTCTAAAGCCAACCATATCCATATGGAAAATGTTCTAAATTATGGTACCCAAAATGTGTCACCAGCAGGGGCAGACCCGTCATTACAGCATTACTGGCACATACCGTACGTTGGTTTGTGTTTTTAATTTGTTGCCGTGGTACTCCAACTCAAAACAAGGTGCCCCGAACTCATTGCAAAATTTTTTTCTGCTTCACACTGTTTCCCTCTGTTTTGCGCTCTTTCGCGCTGTTTCCCCACTGTTTTGCGCTGTTTCCCTCTGTTTTGCGCTGTTTCGCGCTCTTTGCGGTGTTTCGCGCTGTATTCAGTAAGTAGTAAAACCGCTCTATCAGTATTCTAATGAAATACTTTTTAATGTAAGGCATTACAGGAGTAACGTAAATTTCACAAATATTCAAAAAAACATTAAAATCTGAAAATGGACTCGAAAATTTGAAAAGGTCTTACTGCTGTACTGCGGTACCGGTACTGATTTGGAGCCTGAACAAATGTTTTGGGTATGGATGGATAATCAAACACCTTTCAAATCAACTGAATGAAGAAAATGGAAAAAACTCAATCACTGTTCTAACGAAATACTTAATACAGTAGGTAGGTACCGGTACCGGTACCTAGCGGTAATATAACGAATTAACCTAAATCCGAGCAATTTCGGTACGGTACCGCAGTACCCGGTACGGTAGCCTAGTACAGTTACGGTCTGACGGTATATAGCCAAGTACCTGCGAATCATGGATGTCTCTCCTTGTTCTACAATTGGTACCGCTATTGCCTGTCAATGCTGTTGAGTCTTATTATAATCCCGTAAAATTATCGCAGCTTTTTCGTCGCCGAAAAGATCGCGTCAACTCGACAGTCGACTTGCTGTTTGCGCATTAACGTACGGTACTGACGTAAAACCCTGCGTCGATGATAAATACTATAAACAAGAAAAACGCGACGACTGGTTTAATTTCCACCACACTCCCGTCTCCCACTCGTGTTTCGATAAGGGGTGCGTGTACGTTTGCTTCTGTGTCGTAAATTTAACAGCATCGGTATTATAGATAAACATACGGTGTGTGATATGTGGTGTTTCCCCGAACATGATTTCCTTGTTTACGTCTGTAACAATGACCAATTAGGAATAAGGTCGACAATGACGTAACAATTGCAAGTTGTGCATACATTTCGTACGCTCATACGGATATTCATGCATGGTTGTAACTTGTAAACATTGCCGCGTTTCGTGGTTTTGCGTGTTATTTGTCAGTTTTCAGTTGCGTTTCCGGGTGAAATAAAGGTTTTGTCGATTTTCCTGTATAACTCCATTTCACGTGTGTTCGCCGTTATATTATTCTTTATGATCGGTTGACTGGGCTAATCAGATAACTTACCTTCATAACAATTAGCAAGCATCGGAATTGTTACGCATGGATATACATCAAGTTCCCATTTTTTTTTATACACCACAATCTGGAATGCGAGGAAGAAATATTTTGACACCGAGAAGTTTCCTTTATACTTCACTTCAGTATAAAAAATTGATGCTTATTTTGAGGGTGTTTTAGATAATTGGCACTTTAAAACTGTTTACGTGGGTAAGATCGTCATTTTTTTTTTTCAAATAAAATATTCAACCACGTGCCTCTTGCAGGTACTGATACCGGTATCTATCTATCTGTTTGTATGTGTATCCAGAATAAAAAGTTTAGGCTGAATAATTTGCCTGATATCAAACTTTGTAATTCTGTATTGATTTTATTTTCGTCCACTAAATATCTCGGTGTTTTCCTATCCAGTGATCTTAGAGATGACCTTGACTTGAAACGTCAGTATAAATCAATTTATTTTATAGCCCATACAATTTCGAAAAAATTGTCAATTGTTCCACTACTGTGAAAATTCTTTTATTTAGTACGTATTGTTGTAGCATTTATAACTGCCAGCTCTGGTTGTTTTTCAATAATTCTAATTATAAAAAAGTTAAAATTTCATATAATAATGCTTATCGCGTAATTCACTATGTCTCTAGATCTGAGAGTGTCCGTCACAAAATGGTATCTGGGAACATTCCCTCTTTCGAAGCACTCCATAGAAAAAATCTGTGGTTGTTCATGACGAGATGCAGGAACTCCAATAACATTCTATTACAATCATTATTTGATTCACAGATACTGTTTGTTACCAATGACATTAAACAACATGATGCGCAACTCCGGCATTTTTGTCCGAAGATCGTATTCGATAGCACGCTCCAATGCACATACTTGACGAGACGAAAACGAGCGGATGTGTGCTGTATTCAAGGCATAGCACGAATGGTGTTCGTGCCTGCTTTGACAGTTGTTGTCGATTTTAATGATATTTTGGAAAGTTAAGGTAAAAAGAAATCGGAAAAAGGTAAGGTAAATACTATTGTGGTATATCACACCCGGGCATCGCACTGTTAAGTACATGTGGGAAAGCCAGCCTTTGTCAAATACTACGAAGTTATTAATTCAGTACGGTACGTAGTTGCCCATTTGCCAAATTACATATTTACTTACCCCTTATGCCTGGTTTCAAAAAGTTCATGCACCTCCAGTTAGATTTTTTAATCAGTGAGGATATTTACTCATTGTTGATTGCTGCTCATTGTAACATACTATTGCGCATTCACTTATATTTGCGTATTGAATCAAAGTGTTAACAAGTTCACCTAACATTTCACTCACACCGGTCTATCTTGTATAGTCTGATCTCTCAAGTATTTGGAGCCGCGAATGCTTGTAATTTTCTGACTAAACCCTTTTAATAGTTGGTTTATATACCAAATTCAGTAAAATATGAGATATTGGATTTATTAGCTTTTCCATTCTAAATCATATAGACTGCTTTATTTATTCTTAACGAAAATTAATAAATCTCCTCTCTTTCTTCAGATGTGAAAGTTGTGGACAAACCTGTCTAAGCATTGTGAGACTCCTGCAGCACAAGAGGCAATAGCAGAAATAGTAAGTATATCAATCAAGAAATTAAGCCGACATAAAGCAAAACTTTCAACTATTCGTCTAATCTTAATTTCCTATTATTTATTCACAGGACAACTATAGCAGAAGGGGAGATATCAGACGTCTGGCGACATATCAGTGACAGTGTGATTCCAAGAAATATAATTAGAGTACTCCATAAATGTTTGCAATAGAAAAACAACCTATGGAGGCATGCAAAGACATTTGACCCTCCGGTAGAGTTGTGTATGGCCCCCACATCCTGCAGGGCTTGAGGAAAAGAACTAAAAATTCTAAAGCGTAAGGTTGCATAAGCGGTCTTA